TATAATTATATGTGAAATGCTCTACAAGGCTAAAACTTTCAGTAACCGAACTATAATAATATTAACAATAGTGTGTATGCTAATTAACCACTTCATGGCCAAAGCAATTTCTTACTATTTGCACAAACTTGATAAAATCTGAATTTCTGCCTAGAAAATAGCTTCAGACCCCCAAACAATTATATAGCAGAGGCTTTCAGAAAATGTTGCACGGTATTTGCGCAAATGTTTATCAAACCAGTATTTTTAGGGTAAAATACACTAAAATGACATTGCACAGAATATAATACAATATTAAAATATAATAGATGGGGTCACGCCGGGTACATAGATACCAAACATGTCAAGCCTTAAAATTGCGTGCGTCCATGAAACCCCAAAAAACTACAATACCCAAGATTTCCCATATGCGATGCTTTAAAAGCTTTTACTGCTCATCACTTTAGTGTTATCAGTGATGGGTGGCCCTAGCATTATTGCTCTCACTATGACATTCACGACAATATGTGTGGGGCAATTTTAGTTTTTGCGCGTAGGCGCACCTGCCATGTGTTTTGCATTATATGTGCGTGCACATGGGGGCGGGGGATTAAAAACATTTTTTTTTTATTTCTTTGTTTTTTTGACTCAACTTTATTGCTATCACATAGGGGGCTAAGAAGCCCCCTATGTTATGGCAAATATAATGTGACAGGTCCTCTTTATGGGGACATTGGGTCTTTCAGATCCCTAATGTCACCTAAGGACCCCAAAGAAGCTGAGGAAGCAGAGATCTGCTTCCCCAGCACTTCAGGACTAGACGTTGTTTGACAATGGGCAGTCCTAAAGCGGTTAATATCAAAATTCCATTACATTACAACATTGTCACTGTGACAGGAAGTGAGTGAACACACAGATTTTCAATTTAGTACCTGCAGCCCTTTGGAGCTCCTATGCTCAGGCCGTGGACTTACCAAGTCTAAATTAAGCCACGCCCCCTTAATGTTCTGTATCCTACCCACTGTAATTCAGTTGGAATAGTGGGTAGTAGAGCCATTTGGCAGCTCAATAACAGGGGGCAAGATGTAGTGCTCTAGATGGGGCTTATTCTCAACTTGGGCAAAAGTCAAGGACCCATATACAGCCCAGCATCTAAGGGGCTTTCAGGAAGACACAGGGATCGCTTTGAATATTAACACAGGTACCTACACAAAGGCCACTGTTACCTGAGAAATGGTTTAGACCAGGTCAGATTTGCAAGTATGGAGGTTGCTTGTGTTTGACTGTGATTCTTTTTTTTTTTTTCTTCAGTTGCACCCGGCAGTACTTCGAGCACTAAAGGGACGAGCAGCTAGGCAGTGCTTAACACAGGAGCTTAATCTTCACGTACAGCAGAATCGAGCAGTGTTAGATCACCAACAGTTTGACTTTGTTGTGCGTCTGATGAACTGCTGTTTACAGGTGAGCAGTTATTTATAGCATTTTCATGTCATTTATCAAATCTGGAACCTGGTACGTTAGGAAGGTATAGTTGTCCTCATGGTGTGTATAGAGAATGTTGCACATCCACATGTCATGGCTCGTATTCCTCATGTATTTCTTCCCTCTCCTTTTTTTTCTAAAGGATTGCACTCCTCTTGATGAGCATGCTATAGCTGCTGCTCTTTTACCTCTCATCACAGCTTTCTGCAGGGTGAGTTTATTAGTATAAACCTGATTGTATGTTTAGGTCAATTACCTTCTCACAGGTATTTACCGTTTGTTTAGTTTACTATTTTTACATTATTTTGTTCTCTCCTTTTCAGAAATTGAGCCCTGGCATCACACAGTTTGCTTACAGCTGTGTCCAAGAGCACCTTGTCTGGACCAACATGCAGTTTTGGGAATCCATGTTTTATGCGGATGTCCAAAACCAAATCCGAACCCTTTACCTAAGTTCTGAAGAGTCTTCGTCAAACTTGGTACCTATTCAATATCTCAGTCTTATAATTATTAATTTATTGTATAATGTTACTTTAGTGCAGTGTACCACAAACTTCTGTCTCAAAAGAGGGGAGAGAGACATTTTCTGATTTTAATTATAGTGGATATTGCTGCAAGGAGTGTATAGATGCAGGATTGGCTTTTTTCAGACCTAAAGTGGTGTTATAAGCTGGTATTTAGAGCCTAACCAATTTGTACAGCCAGTGGATATTAATTGGGTAAGATAGTAGGCACAGACATACTTTGATGGACTCTTATCTGGGTGTGGGGATATACCTAGTGCTAAAAGCTGGTTCTGTCAAATGTGGATCACACATTGACAGAACTTGAAAATCTGTTTGAGAGTGGAATTGCTAGTGCCATGGTTAATTCTCTGTCCATATCACTGTTATAAATTAGACTTGAGTTGGTTTAGACAGGTTAATCTGAAAGACATGGTGTTGGGTAGTTGTTGGAGCTTTCTTTGGCAACATTTCACATTTTTGTTTGTCATTTTGAGCATTGTATTCATGCTGTAGTAATATTGTGTACTGTCATTTGTAAGGATGAAGTGGAAGAGGAGGAACGGTCGGCTCTGGAGCTGGCTGCAGAGCAGTGTCGGTTGTGGCCAACATTCCCACGAGAAAAACAGTTAGAGCTGATCCAGAAGGAAGAAAGCACGGTATTTAGCCAGGCCATCCACTATGCCAGTCGTTTGAGCTACCTACTCCTACCATTGGATACTTCTAAAAGCCGCCTTCTGCGAGGAGGAGCAGGCTTCGGAGGAGCAGGCTTCGGAGATACTGAAAGTGTGACCAACAGCTTCATTACCAACAGGTTAGATGCTATGAAGCTTACAGTGAATTCTTCATGCACTTAATGTTAACACCTGCTAAAAGGCTACTCTTATATGTTTTTCAGTATGGCAGGCAGTGTTGCAGAAAGTGCAGACACAGAAAGTGGGTTTGAAGATTCGGAGAGCTCAGACGTGGCACATTATGTGGTCAGATTCATCACACGGTTTGTGGACAAAGTATGTACAGAGAGTGGTGTCACATCAGATCATTTGAAAGGCCTGCACACCATGATTCCTGGTACGTGGTACATAGCTTGAACAGACTGTATTCATAACTGTTAATGCATCAGGTTTGTTGGAATAAGCACTTTCTAATTTGGCCCTGCTGCTGACCGATTCACTAAAGTCAGCAAACTGTGTAGACATCTTGTGTATGTGACTTGCTGTTGAGAGAATGAATGGTTAATGTTCTAGATTTATTGAGATCAACAAATCGCTGAACTGTAAAATAGTCCCAAGAAATTTGTTTCTAAAAGAGCCACACTGACACCATATATTTGTATCAGGCTCTCAAAGTGGGCACACGATGTCACATGCACATATACTTTATATGCGTTGTTAGCCTTGAGTAAAGCTGTGCCCACTCTCCTGGTGCAGATAAATTCTTAATTATTCATCATAATAGGTCAATCATGGGTCATATGGTGATGAGAAATGGATTGCAGTTGAGGGCTTTAGGTTTTCTGTTTTGGAAACCCTCCTAAAAACATGGTTGGTTAATACTGACTTGTAATCTATATAAGATACTTGGCTTATCCCTCTGTAACTGTGATTCTGTCATAGATATTGTTCAGATGCACATAGAGACTTTGGATGCAGTACACAGAGAGAGTAAGAGGCTACCACCTATTCAAAAGGTAAGTGTCCTCATTTTTAATAGCGGTATATGCAGTTGTTACATATACATTTGTATTCTGACTCTTTGAGGTTGCTTTTTGTTCCTCAGTATATGTCTGTCTTTGGTTCATAATGGTCTCCTTTGTTTTTTCTCTCAGCCCAAACTCTTGCGGCCCACATTGCTAGTTGGTGAGGACTTGCTAATGGAAGGTCTCAGAGTTTACCTGCTGCCAGATGGAAGAGAGGAGGCGTCGGGTGGAAGTCTTGGAGGTCCACCACTCCTTCCTGCTGAAGGGGCCCTGTTCCTCACTACTTACCGTTGCATCTTCAAGGGTACACCAGTTGATCCTTTAGGTAACTTGAAAATTATTAGATTACTTTGAAAGCCTCTTTTCAAATGAAAATACTGGGCAGCTAGAAATTAACTCTCACGTTTTTGTTATACTAGGATATTGCACACAAAGTACAGTTTCCACACATGAATTGCAGGCTAAAGTACATATGTTACAGAAACGTGTTTGAATAGTTTTCATTGCAGTAAATGCAGAATCTGCAGAATCACTTAAAATGAAATGAGGACAGAGGTGTCTTGTTTTATGCAGTGTCCGAACAGACGGTGGTGCGGTCTTTCCCTGTTGCATCTCTGACTAAGGAAAAGAAAATCAGCGTTCCAGCTCATCTGGACCAGTATGTGCAAGAGGGACTTCAGCTACGCTCATGTACTTTTCAGGTGAGATCGCTATATTAATACATAGAATTCCCTTTTAGATGAATATTGTCCTATTACATTGTTTTATGTTGTAGATGTTTGGATGAAAACAATTAAACTTTTGAAAGTAATACATAGAATGCTGCTCTGCACTTATATAACAGTGTGGGTGCCTGTCGTGGCTTTATGGTAAAGTATCACAAAATGTTTCTGATTAGTCAGCAGGTAGAAACTTATAGAATTCTGTAATTAAACAGCTTGCTGAAATATTTATTACCGTACATTAACTGGCCCCCTACTGGACAAATAAGCCTTCTCTTGGGCAAGTAGTAGAACTACAGAACTAAGCTTATGGTTTATCATCTGCATTATTTAGCCTGAAATATCTGCCATGCCTCTCGTCTAATATAAACTTGACATTTTGGCATATTTTAGTGAATGTTTCCATCTTTACTTACAGTACCGATTAATACTGAAATGTCTTTTGCATTGGCAGAGAGTATTGTTGATAGATGAACATGCTAAATTGTAGACCTCTCAATTTATTTTTAACAAAATTGAATTTCAAAGAGGATGCTTGCTTTTTTTTTTCATTATTTCGGTTGTAATGTTTTTTTTATTTTGGTTCCAGCTCTTGCGAGTGGCATTTGATGAGGATGTCCCATCTGAAGTGTCTGAAGGTTTCCGCAAGCAACTTCACAAGCTTAGGTATCCTCAGGATGTGCTTGGGACCTTTCCATTGAGTGTTGGTCTCTCTCTTCCACATCCTGCCCAACCCAGGGCTAAGGACAAAAACCCCTCTATCAAGTAAGTAAAGAAGCTTTCTTCTGTCAACTGCGTCATATCATGAATATCCAAAGAATCCTACCTTGAGCAACTGTGCTGAAGTGATATGAGTCTTGTGGTATTAAAATAAAAGGATTTGTTTTATTGCATGGACCCCACTAGGCTTCTTGTGGTTGGGTTCTGATATTTCCTTTTTTTCTGTATTGTCCATGTACTTCTCCCTTTCAACTTACTAGTTAACACTACGTTCTATTCCTACTCTGACATCTCTTACTGTGCCTCTGATCCTTGCAGTACCTGAGGTCTTTTTGTAAAGTGACCCCTGTGTTTCTCTGTAGCCCCCTCCATGTCAGTGACGCGTTCCAAGGCCGCCTGGCTGTGGGTTTATCTGTTGGCCTCTTCCATTCAGAAACGTAAGACCTCCACATTTACACCCAGCCTGGTCATGGTCTTATGGTGCCAACCATGCTTCCTGGTGTGCAGCTTTTTTTTTAACTGTCTGATTTCTATATGGGCAATGGAGGCAAATGGTTAACAACAAATATATGTCTTCTGGAGATGGAAATGTAATGAAAAAGCTTGGTCCTTGTGTTACATAGCATTGGGTGAAAATTGCCATCGGAACTTTGTCATGGCTTTGTTAATCTTACAATTATATTGTTTCAGTGTGTAATAATTGTCTGCTCTAAAAAATTATAAAGTGGCCTTCAACCTGACCCTGTAATTCCTAATTTTTGCTTCTGGTATTATGAAGTACATTATACAGTACCCAATCCAGTTATATATCATTTGATGCTTTTTTTTTTCTCTTTACCTTTAAATCTCTTAGTGTTTTACCCATTAGAAGTAGTTCAGCCATATCTGATTGCACCTGGCTCAATCACCCATTGCTAATGTAAAACGTCTGGTGCTAGGAGAAGATTTGACAATGGTACAATGTAAATTGGGTGTGGCTATCGCTAGAGCAGTGAGTTCAAGCAATGTGTTTGGATGAAAGCAGTATTATCTGCACATAAAGGCATCTAAACTGAATGTTGCTTGCATAGAATTGCAAGTAGTATACTGGAGGATGTTTATGAAAACTGGTGTGGGAAACATTGTTGCTGTATCTCCGAGCAACCAGATATTCTAAGCGCTTAGGCCCCTTTCACACAGGCAGTCCAGTTGGGTCTGCCTGTCAGTTTTTCATGATCGGATGCCAAATGCTAGTGTTTGGGCAGCTGGGTCTAAATAGATGGACATCCGTTTACACCTGGTTACCCCTGACTCCAGCCAGGCCCAGAAAACCAAATGGAACTGTGTTCCGTTTCGACAGACTTAATTTTGCTGGATCGGGGGTAATCTGATAAAAATGGACACGTCTGTTTACATACGATTCCTCATAAACCGAAATGGGGTCTGGTCATTTCCGTTTTTTCCTTCATTGCAAGATGGAGGATAAAACTGGACAGACACGGATGTCACAGCGGTGACATCCGATCCCTACCACTCGGATCAGGAGGGAATATGCACGGATTCCCTCCTGATCAGCAAGTGTGACAAGGGCCTTATTCTCACCTGAGCAGTTTAATTCACTTGTACACTGCATAACCACTGTGTATGAAAACAGGATAGTATTATTAAGTAGTTCAGTTCAGATCGGTGCAGTTAAATTCGATGACCTTTTGACAATGTGCTCCCAGACTCCTGCATGCAACAGGTTTGGTGCATTTTACAAGCGGTGCAGGGATGGGTTTGCTTTTTAAAACTCATTCACAGCACTCGCATTGCACTTTGGTATTTTCGTAGAAGTGTTTTCACCGTACCGATGATAAGGAGTTTTGTGGAGTCCGTTGGCTAAAAGGCGGCAATAGCAGTGCCATTAATTACTTTTGGTTTTCCAGTATTCCTATGGTTGGGGAACCCAGGAGCAGTCGGGGCCCTTCTATAAGAATACCATCACCAGCATGTCCAAATAAAGGTCTCTGGTGTGTTAGCACACACAATATTAAAGCATAAAGTGGGTTGCAGCATCTTTTGTTCACTGTCCACTCATTAGTTTTCATAAATATCAAGTATTCCACTGTGAGCAATACAGCTGACCTCAGCTTTGCTAGTTGCGGTTTCTTTTTCCATATAATCCTGCATCCATAATGCTTCCCTTTCTGCTGTGGTAACTGTATGGTGTAATGGTGGACTGTTATTCTGCAGGTTATCAGTAAGCACTCTCCTTTCTCTTGTTGTAGTTCATTTTCTGAGTACATATACCAAGCTGCAATTCTTATGTCTGCACAGTCATACTTCTTGTAATTTCACCTCCAGTCATAATAGTTTTTCTTTCTATGCAATTTACTCTCTATTTCTTAAGGACCATATCTAAGAACCTTGTGAAGAATGCCAAAAAGACCATTGGCAGGCAGTATGTGACACGCAGGAAGTACAGTCCCCCATCTTGGGATCTCCGTGGTAGTCAGAACTCTTTGGAACAGCCGAGTGATGACATTTCTGGTAGGTGTTCAGGTCTAAATGCTGATTGGACATGAAATAAGTAAGTAGCCATAAACACTTCTTTGTATGTCAAGAGGTTCTAAACTGTGAACTCTTGCATTGCTGTGTCACGCAGTAAGCAAAGCAGGGAACTTTCTAGAGGATGGGGAGGGGGGGCGTTTTTTATTTTTTTACTTTTGACATTTAAAAATAAATTGCCTCTAATGATGTGTATCATCTGTGGGTGGTGCTGCATTTGTTAAATCTCTTACAAAATGAAATCTGGTTAAAGATTTCATATATCCTGGAGATAAGTGTAAGCACCAAGCTTCCGGTCTTGAAACTTACAGTCCCGGCTATAGCACAATGATAGTGGCTCCTCGCTTTTCACCTACTGTGACTGGATGAAGGGAGGTTGTGATATTCCCTTCCTCTCCCCTCATCCATTCAAAGAACACCTTGTATTTTGGTAACAAAAAAACAGACTTTTATGAATGAACAAGGTGGAGTGCGATTTGACCCACTGTCCTCACTGTACTAGAGCCAGGACTGTATGTTTCATAGCTGGACATTTGGCAATCCGATTACTCTCTGGGTAATCTAAGTAGGAGTTTTAACTAAAACAGCATGTTAGAGGTGAGTTATTTTTACATAGCACATGTCCACATTTCCCTGGAGTTCAGCTTTAGATTTTTTGAGTTTTGTAAGACCGTTACAGTCATTGCCTTTCAGTTTGCTATGTTTTCTCCTGAACCTACTATAATCTTGAAGATGTGAGGTATAATTCCATCATTTTATTATTTTTCACGAAAGATTTGGTTGGAAAAGAGACATACAGATGTGTCAACATCAGTAACCATCAGTTTATTTCCACACTGAATGCATAGATAATACAGGAATCCCATTTCATCTTCTGTCTATGGATTGTGATTTTGCTTCTGGGTAAAGCATGCTCAAATCCAAACGGGTTTCATATATATTACATATGTGGTGCTAAAGGGGTGTCACCACATGTTAACCTAACAAAATAAATAATACTAATTATCATTTAATTGAGAATTTTCACTGTTTCTCTTCCTAGATATTTTTATAGGTGCATAGTACCCAAATCCATGTGCAGTGAGCTATAAAGGAAATAAATACTACTATCACATTTATTTTTGTAAGATGTCCCATATATTTTATGCAGAGAATATATTGTCACCGGTTCTTATTGCAGTGTCTGAGGATATGGAAAGAAGTACACTGACCATTTCCACTCTGAAGGCTCCTGACAAACAGACAGGGGGTAATCTGGCGGAGAGAGCTTGCTGCCGGGACTACCAGAGAATGGGACTTGGTACACTGAGTAACAGCTTGACGCGTGCTAAAAACGAACCGTTTCGAATCTCGACTGTAAACCGCATGTATGCAGTTTGTAACAGGTGAGCTTTGGTCACTTTTATTAATACTGTGGTAGAATCATAGAACGAGAGACAATGGGGAAAAGATGAATACAAATCTGGCAACTTTATTTTCAGTTTCATCAGCTTAGTTATATTTTATGACACCTGTATTGGATGTTTTATTTGTTTGCACAGCTACCCAGGATTGCTTATAGTGCCACAGAGTATTCAGGACAACACTCTACAGAAGATATCCCGCTGTTACAAGCAAAACAGATTTCCTGTAGTGTGTTGGCGCAGTCCTCGGACCAAAGCTGTTCTTCTGCGCTCAGGGGGGCTTCATGGCAAAGGCGTAGCTGGACTCTTTAAATCTACCAATACCACTGCCACTGGTGAGTGCCCATTTTTTATTGGTATCGCTCTAGAAACTGGAAATGTGTATTTGTAGTCTTATACTTTGCAGTCCACCTAAAGAGTACATTTGTTTCTACAGGCCCGTCTCAGACGGACTCTACTTCTTTGGAGCAAGAGAAGTACCTCCAGGCCATAGTGACCTCGATGCCCCGCTTTGCAGAAATGAGTGGGCGTAACACTCTCAGTGCATTCCCATCTGCACATCTCTATGGTGAGAGGTCTTATCTGGCTGACAGTGGCTGAAATCATTCTAGATTTTATGTTGACTGTCTTTTCATGTACTGCTTTATCTAGGCTGCTTTGCAGTCTTACGGTTCATTTCCTTTGGCTTAGCATGCGTGTCTGCTGCATGGCTTGCATGGAAAAGCACAAGAGGGATTTTAGCCTCATGTCTCCATGAAGCGTGCTGGGTGCAGTGTTATGTCCACAACATTTTTTTTGGCAATATGCTATGTGAAAGAGTCCTGTGTTGCTTTACTCATCTTATTACAGTAAGTGATTGATATGCTAATAACCTGTCATGTAATTAGTTAAATCTGACTATGTTCAAGCCACTGGTTTGAGGAATCGTACCAACATGTCACGGTCTGCCGGTCAGGGGGCACACAGCAGGAATCTCCACAGCATAGGCGCACCTCTTTGGGTGTCTCCCTGTATGACCATCTCACATATTTGCCACTAAAACTCTGCTCTCTCCATATTCTTTTTATTTTTCTCTCCATCTTGCGCTACATCCTCATCATTGGCTCACTGATGATCGTGTGTGCTGAATATACAGTATGCTTGAGTCTGTAGACCGCTGGGCATTGTATATTTATGTAGAGGGCTGTTATGATTTTGTTTCTAACACTCGTGGTGAAAGAGCTGTTATACGGCACTCTGAAAATGTTTGCTTCCTTTTCGAATTTTCTATGTTTTTTTACAAATGAAGCTTGTGGAAGAAAAACGGGCAGCATTTAGTGTGAAATGTGCAGTCGTAGGTATAAATATGGAATTGGCCTTTAATTCATTTCTGGTGTTTGACTAGAATCATTTGTACCCCTCCCACTTCCTGTTGGTCACCCTTGTGATGGGCAGATTCACTGATTAATTTAGGGCTTGATAGGCAGGAAGTGGTATGGCCCAAGCTCAGCTTCTACAAGAAAAGTTAAGATTTACATATAATTTCAGTTACCTGTACCTGTTGGTCTACTGATCATTTTGATATGCAGTTTTTCCTGAAGATGGCATCTGCTTATGCCTTATTCTGGAGCTCGGCTTTAAGGTGCATTGAATTCCTCGCATTAGAATTTTAAGGGAGATGATCATGCCATCTGCACTTGAGTTGAAGCTGAAGGTTATACATTCATGCAAATGAGCAGGTGAAAGGCTGATAAAGGTTACAGTATGCTCTAGTGTAAGTGTTGTCTAATATCAATTAGGATGTTGTAGCAGGACCTAAACAGTACTCGGTTCGATTAGCTCTGCCTGGAGAAAATAGGTGAGAATTCAGCCACAGCATGATGCAAAGTTTATGAGAAATGTATCATGGTTAAGGGTGGCCCATCAATTTATTAATTGTGCATGGGCACAGTGACTTGTGTCTTCCACACCAAAGGACCGAACAAAGTATCCTTTTGACTGACATTCATATACTGCCAGAGCTGGCCAAAAATCTGATTGACCAATGTCAAAAGGTGCAATAGAGAGAAAAGTAAAAAGGGGGAATTTGCGTAACTAATATTTTTTGAAAGATTTTGAAACTTAAGGTTTTGGGGGTTTTTTGTTAGTTGAATTTGACATTGTGTATATGTTTATGTTGGAGGCTAGGTTTGCTGCACATGGGGCATTCATAAAAATCGGCGTTGAATGCAGGCAGGAGAGCCGCACAGTCTCTGTGAATTCTTATAGCTGATACTTTCAGAGCAGAGGCGCATCGCCCTGGGACAGGAAATACAGATTATGGGACCCAAAGCTTTTCTGAACTAGTAAAGTGTCACAAAGATTCAGATTATTATTCACACTCGTGACTGGTTCCCTTAATTCTGTTATCGCTGCACGAGTTGACTGTACATTGTATTAAAATATGGGTTTAAGGCCTCATTCACACGAGAAAAGGCCGGCACGTACAGCTCCGTGCTGCGTGCACGGCCGTATCTTGAAGCCCCCCGGAAGGACAGGTGCTGCGTGTGATTACTACGCAGCCCCTTTCCTTCTCTAGAAGAGTATGTGGCCGTACGCCGCCCTACGCTCACCCCTACGCTACGTCCGTGCGGGTGTCCGTACTCGTAAGCTGACAGGATGGATCCTGTCTGCGTCTGAGCCGGGACACCCACACCTGTACGGACCTGCACTTGGTGAGCGTAGAGCGGCATATGGCCGCATACTCCCATTGAGAAGGACAGGGGCTGTGTACTAATCACACGCAGCACCTGTCCTTCCCGGGAGCGGCCCGATACGGCCCTGCACAGAGCTGTACGTGGCGGCCTTTTCTCGTGTGAATGAGGCCTTAATATTTATGCAAAGGACATATTTTAGGTCTTTAATAATAATAGAATAATAATAATAAAAAAACTGAAAATGAACAGACATTATAAAGAAATAAAATGATTTGGTTGGTTACAGGATGAGGTTATCCTAAGTGGTGCTTGTAATTAGCTGAGCTTTGTCCAAGGAATATAAGCTGGTGTTTCTACTGCAGATTCTCCCGACAAACGTCAACCCAAACTGGGTTCTCTGATGAAGCAGGTGATGGGAGGGAAGGAGGACGTTCGAGGAGGTATGATTCCAAATTGTTTGGCTGTACGGACATAAATACATATGGTGGCTGTGAGGCTATACTGCCCAATGCCAATTCCTGAGTATTTAGAGTGTAGTGTGTTGTTACTGCAATGAAAGAATGAATGCTGCGTACAACCACCATTCATCTGGAATAACTTCAGGACCTCATTGTCACTTTGTTTTATTCACATACCTTTCCAAAGTGTCAGGATAATCTCTCTGCTTATTTCACCCCATATTTCACATTCAATGCTGCTTCTTCATTTAGACTTTGGCCACATACTTTTCATTGACTTTTAATGGCATTGTTTCAGTACTGCCCACCATTATAATTAACTTTAGTAATCTTAGCCTCCATTTTCTAGTGTTTATATAATGCCTCATACTGTAATACCAATCTTGTGTGTAAACGAAGTTTACCGAATAGAGATATGTTCCCATTTGTCCTTTAGAATTAGAATTTACTGTTGTGTGCCGGTCATATACTGTTTCAGCTGCCCCCTTCCCATACATTCTGCCTTGACACAGATGCCACTTTCTCCTTGAACCAGGTTATTCAGTACGGGGTATAAAGCACCCCGCAGTGAAACGAAGTTATGCCGAGCAAGGTCAGTGCATATGGCTTGTTAACACCAGAGAGGAAAATGAGCATTAAATCCCACCCTACCATCCCTTTCCAGCCATAACTGCCCCAACAAAGCTCAATTGTTATCTAAAGTCTGACAAAATCTAATCTGCCTATGTATAAGGGCATCCCCTTCCCTTTCCTAATGTTTGCTAAGCTTGAGCCTAATGTACTCACAGGACAGTTCTACTAATAGGAATGATGGTTGCTAAGTCAGTGACCTACATCTGTTTAGTATTTTATCTTTTTAAACCTTTTATATTGATGTAGGAAAATGGGGCAGCATGCGTGGGACTGGGAGACTTGGTTCCTATGGTATGAACGCAGATGTAGGAACACGATTGGCTGCAAGAGAGCTTTTGACCCCCCATCAAAATGGAGGACCCTCAGAGAGTGCACTGACTCCCCGCAGAGCTGCACTGTACATCATAGGTGACAAGTCACAGCTCAAAGTAAGTCTATCAAAGCTTCGTTTGGAATAACCTCTACTACTTTGGTTTACATAATGTTTGGAAATCAGTACTTTCATCTTCTGTTGAAACAAAAAAAGACACGTTGATACAGTTCTGTTGGTATTCATGTTCTGTTCATTGATGTGTTTCCTGTGCCTTATTGCCCTTATTTCTTGCATAGGGAGTAAAGCAAGACCCACTTCAGCAATGGGAACTGGTCCCCATTGAGCTTTTTGATGTGAGGCAAGTGAAGGCCAGTTTTAAAAAACTGATGAAGGCATGTGTGCCTAGTGCCCCCTCCACAGATCCCAGCTTGTCGTATCTGCGCACACTAGAAGACTCGGAATGGCTATTACAGGTCTGTCTGATACTAGATATTAGAGTGCTACTTCTGGCTGTATTCCAGCATTTCATGCCCTGTAAAACATCTGCTCTCCTTTAAACTCTTTTCATACAACATGATGTTTTTAAACTCTGTAGTAGTTTCCTGTTATCTGACTTTCATATATGTGGTTTCTCTTTTAGATTCACAAGCTCCTCCAGGTCTCTGTGCTGGTTGTGGAGTTACTAGACAGTGGGTCTTCTGTTCTAGTTGGACTGGAAGACGGGTGGGACCTCACAACGCAGGTATTGGCATTAATCAGGTTCATTGGCCAATTAGCCTTGACACAACAACCTTCATATGCTTATGACCCTAAAAGACATACTGCATTGTAGTAAATGAATAAAGCAGCCTTCATTACTATGTTTTAGGTGGTGTCCCTTGTCCAAATAATGTCTGACCCATACTACCGGACCATTGAGGGTTTTCGGCTACTCTTGGAGAAAGAGTGGCTTTCATTTGGCCACAGATTCAGCCATCGTGGTGCACATACGGCAGCCAGTCAGAGCAATGGTTTCACTCCTGTTTTCTTGCAGTTTCTGGACTGTGTGCATCAGGTAAGCATCCATGCAAAATGTGATTATATCAAGACTGGAGGGGTGAGTTCTTTAGGATGTGTTGTCTAGTTGAAGCCATCTTCTTTTTTATCTTTCTGACTCTCTTATGGGGTCCAGCCACATTAAACCATGGGAAGTAATCACACTTGCTTTTTTACAGATCCATTTGCAGTTCCCCTCTGAGTTTGAGTTCAGTCAGTATTACCTGAAGTTCCTGGCGTATCACTATGCGTCAAACAGGTTCCGTACCTTCTTGTTGGACTCGGACTGTGAGAGAATAGAGAAAGGTGAGAGCAGTGACTGGGCCTTGGAGGTGCTTAGGTATGTGAGCTATCTTGTCCAACCTGTGAAATAACATTGTCTTCCTTTTAGGCATTCTGTATGAGGAGAAGGGTGATCGGCGGGGCCCCCAAGTATGTAGATCAGTATGGGAGTATATGGAACGACTAAATAAGAAGAATCCTGTGTTTTACAACTACATGTTCAGCCCTGAAGATGGAGAAGTAAGTTCCAAAGGCTGCATTTAATTTAGGCCTCTATGCAGTCTCTTCTCTGATTCTATAATGTTTATATTATATTTTTTAAAGTGTTGTAGACTGATGTGTGTAATTTAAATAAATATTTAATTTCTTTAGGTGCTGCGTCCATCCAGCTCAGTGTGGGGTCTTCGTGTATGGGATTATTATACTCATGAGGCCATGAGTGAAGGGCCTTCTTATGACTGGGAACTTGTTCAGGGAACCCGGCATGAAGAACCTGAAAAAACTGACAGTTCCGCCCCACAGACCAAACGCAAGATCATTTGGCCTTCCTATCATGCACCACAGCGTGTTCAGCCTGATGCCATCACCTGCTTATTAGAGGTACGGTCATTAAGGTCATGTAGATACAAACACCAGAAAGTGAATGATGTTTAAATGTCTTGTTGTACCTGCTGGGAAACTTGCAGAGATGTTTGAATCAGATCAGACTCTACAATAATTAGAACTCAACAACACTTTGCAAGCACAGTCGATAAACTGCTTACACTATGTATTTCCAAATAGTTAGAATCTTTTTCTTACCTTGCAAGTATGTTTGAACTGATAACTTTGGCAGTTAGAATCTTATCGGTATCAATAGGTTGGGATGTTTTCTGCCCCGTTACATGGCACAGGAAGAGAGGGAGATGTGTAATGACTATGGTAGGCTTACTGGAAAGACTTTCTGTTCACAGGAGTTGCAGAATTTGGAGACGGATTTGCGGCCTGTGCCAGAGCGCTGGAAAGAAACCTGGGATAAGGTCAAAGCTGTCCACAGGACAGAGATTCGGCATGAGAGTCGGGTGCGTATACCTGTACAAGTCTTTCTTGCTTTTAATGTCCATCACATGTTGCATATTGCAACATATCTAGCCATTGCAAGTTTTTCTTTTGGCTTGTTTGTGTAATGGTTTTCTGCATGTGTTCGTAACACAGAGATTTGGAGCAAGTGGAAGTGCAGTTAATATAACATGACAAGTTTTTTTTTTTCCTCCTCCAAATACAGAAGTCAAGTGCTCTGTTGATGTCATCAAATGTGTCCTCTCAGCGCCATTCACTGGGAATATATCTACAGGAGAGCGGTGTGGGATCTACACTGAACCTGAGCTTAGAAAGTGGTCCAAGCACAACGAGTACTCCTACCAGTGGAGGGAAACTAGGAGCTCGCAGCAGCACTAGCACCTTATACAATCAGTTCAACACTGCAGAGAGAGAAAACAGGTAATGACATTACAGTGTGCAATATAGTCCATATTGGGGTAATGTAGAGGCCATGGTAGCCTCTAAATATGTCAAAGTGCATCCCATGCTAATATAATAAAGCTGCAAGTACTAAAATGAGCTTAAAATAGTTTTTTTCTGAAAATAGGTGCAACATTTCTATGCCGACGCTATAATCAACACAAAACCGCTGTTTGTAACTGTTTTGTGTTTATTATACAGAAATTGTACAGTAATATTGCACCAGCTTCTCAATATGCAATGACAATGAATGTTTCGGAGATAAGAGAGCAAGGGTGAATTATTCAGAGTCAGTGATTACAACTACTGTAAAGCTTTTCGGACAAGGCTTATAACAAAATATTTGTGCTGGATGATTGTCAAGTAGGAACACACAATGATTCATGACAAACGCAGACGGTATTAATATATTCTTAAGTCAGTACCTGTTTGCCAGCTAGTAATTTAGCGGAAGAAGGGCCTACCTATCATCTTTATTTGTGAACTTTACGATAGGTTAGTTAAGAGAACTATGGCCCAGCCTTTTTTTGCCGTAGTTCTCTTTAGGGTCACAGGAGGACATACTGTATCAGGAGAAGAACGGGAACTTCGCAATCGGCGTTATGTGATTTCCGATCAATAGAGCCGACATGTGACAGCTTCAGTGTCGCATGTCGTCTCTAATTATGGGGATGAGTGTATTTTGCTCTCCCCATAATTCTCCTTTTAAGCTTGCAACTTTTATTACTCGGCTTATAATTTTCTGATGTTTGTAAGTAGCTCACTCTTGCTGAAATTGCTTAAAGTGATGTAAAAAGAAAAGCCGATCTAAAATAGAAAACAATGGAACATATTGCAGATTACAAGTCCTTGATTTTTTCATTTTATTTTTCTGGTGACACAGCCAGTAAGTCTTCCTGTCCTAGGACAACAGTACTCACTCACCCTACCGTACCTATGGGGGATCAGCATTGTCACCCAAGGAAAGGAAGTGAGCAGTGAGGCAGATATTCTTATAACTTGCTCCCTAGCTGCTCTAAAGAAGCACTACAACAGAAGAAAAAAAAACCTTCCCCTGACGCTTCTTATTCTGCACCTGTTTTGTGTCAAAAGCTGTCTCATATCTAGTGTTAAATCTGCCACAGAGCTGTGCAAATCTGTCTCATAAAAACTGTTGCATAGACTTTACCTGACAGGAAGCCTGATTTGTGACTACATTTCTCCCTAGTTTGCTCGCTAAATGTCCCTTCAGTGTGCTGGGCAATGCTGACAGCTCTGCACACTGAGCTTCATGTCTCGTGGCCATTGGAGAAAATAAGTGGTAAATATGAGTTTTTCTTGTCATTCCAGATCTTATGAAGGGACTTTGTATAAGAGAGGAGCTTTTATGAAACCTTGGAGACCACGTTGGTTTGTTTTGGACAAGACAAAACATCAGGTAACAAACACAAAATGGTACCTTGTACATTCAAGTTTATTTCCTGAGTCCATTTCAGCCACATCGATAGATGGCTAAACATATAGTAGCGGTTTTCTGCCAGCAACTGGGAAAGTGTCAGCGCCCTTCCCAAAGTATTGCTTACCAGGGAAATGTTTTAATACTATATACCTGCAAAATCATAGCATTGTGAAAAGAACGCTCTGAAGCGAGAAGCAATCCTTGATGCTACAATACTGCATCAGGGCATACTGCAACCTGTATTCACCCTGTAGGCCATTTTAGCCAGTGATCAGATATGTGTCCACTCACTGTGAAGATGGTGGTATTAGTATAGAAAATGCCTTCAAAAAGGTTTATGAAGTCACATCATTTACACAAAATATAACTAGAAGATGATATACTTTAATAATGTAAGATTAGTATCACCCAAAGGGCAATCGAACCCCAACATATACCACAACACATACAGTCATTTGTAAAATATTGCAACTGGCCTGCTCATATTTAGTCTAAATTGGCTATATGTCAAATGTAAACTTTATTTAAAAAAAAAAAAACACATGAATTCACTGTACATTCCACAGTGGTGAGGGGAGTTGGGATTCGTGGAGCGCACTGTGGTGTTTGAACTGTTAGCCTCTGTTATTTCAGGGAAAGATGTTGAAGAAATGTCTCCTCTTCACCGGAGTTAAATGTAACCATCAAATCCAACAGTGTACCATCTTCTTATCCTTTTTTTGTGTGTTTATATAGGAGAAGGAACCTTATATTGTTATTATGTTTATTTCCTTCTCTTAGCTAAATTTTGCTAAATCTTCTTTATAAAACTTTCTTATTTTGTTGTATCTCCCTTTCCCCCATCAGCTACGCTATTATGAGAGCCGTACAGACACTGAATGTAAAGGGGTGATAGACCTGGCAGAGGTAGAGTCTATCTATACAGGTACTCCAACACTGGGTGCTCCCAAAAATGTGGATGAAAGGTCATTTTTCGATGTAAGTTTAAATGGCAAGTTCTTATAATACTTTGCTTATTTGATTTCTTCCCTCCAGTTTTTTTCTAATACTTTCACCTCTTTTTCCTCTCTGCAGTTAAAAACAACTCGGCGGGTTTATAATTTCTGTGCCACAGACCCTTTGCTGGCCCAGCAGTGGATTGACAGAATCCAGAACTGCTTGTCGGATGCGTGAGGCTTCGCAAAGTCTCATGGAAAGATGTCAGGATGTCACTGAAGTATTAGTACTTGGCAGCTTAAAGCTGAGCTTTGTACACCAGTGTCAAGTTGGTGTTTCCAGAAAGAGAACACCTTTGCCTCTTTTTAATTTTTCAGCAAGACATATAAGCATCCATTGAGGAAGCCCTTTGAGATCATCATAGAGGAACAATGCAGAATATGGCTTATGGTCCATCTGAAAAATAAGATTTTCACACACTGTAACTGGCAAGAAAGTATTCAGCCAGAGTATTCGGAGTTGCGCTTAGTGTTTCCTGAGAACAGCTGTCAGAGCAGCGGCCTGGTGCCCATTGGAATCAGGTTTTTTAAAATTCCTTAGTTGATGGGCGCCAACACAGGCTTTTTCATTCATGTTCTCCAATGAAAGTGACCTCTAACATCCTGGAAGCGATATCTGGTTAGTCTCTTGAATGTTTACCTGTTGTTGATGTTTGGTTCAGCAATCCTTTTCATTCTTAACTTATTTTGTAATGATAAATAGCTAGACAGCAGACCCACGCACCCATGTAACAGTAGCAAGCCCTGCTGGCAGAAGAGTTCAGCATAAAACCGACATCTCTAGTTAATATCAAGTAAAACAATTTGACACCGTCATTTTCTTCATGAAGATCCATTCTTTCTTAATAGTAGATGCCTTCTGGCTGTAATAGGGGCTACACCAAAGGGATGGACATTTGCACAAAGGATTTTTATTATTCAGTCCTCACGCACTGGCCCCAGGAGGGTTGGAGCTTGAACTCTGAAGACTGTGACCTAGGAAAACAGGTGAAAACCACTAAGGATTTTATTACCACTTGTATGTAATAGGAATTTGCTTGCTTCTTTCTTCCTGATGTATAGACTGTAAAAAGAAGGGAGGAAATGCTATGTAAAACAGTTTCACAAAATAATATAAATATTCAGAATCTCTTGTTCATGAGCCCCAAGGACTTCTGGACCACATCAACTGTCGCCAGGACTGTGACCGAAGCAGCTGGTCAGCTGTGCAATATGGGAAGATTGCAGCAGGGACATCATCTTGTGTTCACCGTGTGTACCACTTGGATTAACAGGAACATTGTTAAACTGTTAACGGTATTTTAACTCTGTGGTTATCGTACTTCATTTAATAATAATTATTGTATATTGCTGTATATAGAGGAATGTCTAAAGCAGCATGAAACTGATGGAGAGGTTGGCTGGGAAGAGAATGCTGGGGGGTTTTAACTCTTTCACTGCAAAAATGTTATCATACTATTGTTCAGTCCCAGTTCTTGGATACTGTACACTAACGCAACCAATCGTGTTATTGTGGCAAGGAGCAGGTCAAGTACAACAATCACTGTATAGATCCAGTGCACAAATCTTCTTTATGGAAAGAGAAAAGTTGTGAAACATTTCTTCTATATATGAAGATTCTTTACCTGGCTTGGCAGCTGTTGTTGCATAAAGAGAGAGCCATGATATTCCCCAAGCCAGTATACCTCCTAACCACGTGGCACCCAATTTATGGAAAGCACTCCTTTCCTACCACCAGGATTTACAAGGACTATAAACTGTTGCACACCAATATTTTAACTCAAATCTTCTGATTCCCCCACCCTCATCCTTAAATGTTACTATTTTTTGTTTAAACTAGTGTATGAAAGTATGAAATTCCATAACCTAAAGGATAGATGAACAGTTTGTTCACTATAATGCCTATAAAATAGTCCGTTTTATTGTAGGGGGCTAAACTATACTAAAAGAGGGACAACTAAGTAAGAGAAAGTTTCTGAAGGATTTGGTTCTAAAGACAGTTATGAGTTATGGAGAAGTAGTTGAGTCATTATGCTGAAGATTTAATATGTTAAAATGCATCTGACTACAACAAAAGCACATTCGTTTCCAAGCTCGGAGTCTATTTTTGTCCGACATATATTCTGCATGGATGAAAATTCAGTCAGCTCACTGACAACTAAAAGGAGAATCATTGTGCTGCCTCATATGACACTGACCATAAAGTGAGACTTAAAATCTGTTGCTTTAAATTTCATTTTTTGTTCTTTACTGTTCTTTTTATTGTGTATTATGAACCTATCCCCACACTAAGATGATATTATCTACTGGGCATGCTCCAGCAACTAATATTTCTTTATCTTTTAAATTGATATATTGGCATTTTATAACGTTTTAAATATCCCTTTCATCAATGATCCATCTGATCTATCCAATGATGTATCAAACATACAAGACCTGTATTATTTCTGAGCTCCAGGCAAACAGAAAATACACCGATACAATACATATATGAATTATTTTACCTACAGAAGAATTTGTATTTCTGTCCATTCATGCCTGGAAATTGCCTAACCCTGCCACACAGCACACCCAGCCTAGAGTTAACTGAATACCAATACTACATTCACATGTAATCATACATGGTACAATTACATGCAGATTGGGATAGATAATTGCCACAGGGCACAGGATAGATGTACCATGTGGACTGCCACTCAGATTGTGGCTGCTGTCCTTTGCTTCCTATGGGTACAGCAGCTGCATCTGAACAGGACATCTGGGATTCCTGCCGCAGAATTTCCAGAATGCTCCTGTGAATGGGGCCTAAGTCTTGCATGTCATTTTACACAACTGAGTCTGCTACAACCTGGGGTAATGCTCCCCTCCCTCCTGTAAGACTAGTAACAGCCAGCTCCAAATGGACCCCTTGACCAGATCGAGAAAGGAGTATGAGTTGGTAATTTATTCTTAAGCCTGGATAGATTTGAAGCCTCAGTATTTATTACTGTAATGCAGTCAGGCTGCATATAAAGTAATACATATGCTGCTCTTGTGTTTTTCTATTACTAAGTGCTGTAGCAAGGGTTATAATGCTTGCTAGATGCATGCTGGAGAGCCAGGCCATTGCACAAGCTGTGGCCTGGGTTTCCAGCAGTCTGACACCCAGACCCCTGCACAATGCTCCACCCAGCAGCACTTGCACATGCTGAGTAGTTTTAGATCTGTGCTAGTACAGATAAACTGATGCCTTATTTTACTTTATCAGAAGTATTCATCCACCTTTCGGGGTTCAGTTGTGTTTGTCTTTTACACACTCCATGACTTGTATATTTCAGATGGTTGATTAAAACCATTCGTTCCAGCCGTTTTACAGTGCTAAAAAACGTAGTTTAGAGCTGCCGAAGCCTGTTTAGGGCATTAATTTTTAATCTGAAGTTTTGAAGGGTAGTTTCTCTGATTTAGAACATCACATCTTTTGCAGTGAAAGGGTTATTCACACATTCCTCCACTTCCCTGCACAAAAGTCTGAATTGCTCAGTTAGGGCGGCCATTTTAAGAGATGGATGCTCTTTGTACATAATACAATTCTCAGGCTAAAGCTTCCTGTTTTTGTAGAATACATCGGTTCTTGTACATTGTGTCAAACAATACAGTCTTTGGTTTGTGCCTAGATATATGAAAACAGGAATATATCCAGAGAAATAAATAAAAACTAACAAATGTTTAAAAAAACTTGGAGTGCATTTACTACTGTTATACTTGTATTAATAAATGTAATATACAATGCCTTGCAACAGTATCAATATTACTGAGTAACACTGTCAAAATATTTTCAGATTTTTTTTCAAACTAAAAAAACTGAAAATAAAATGAATATGATCATTTTATGTTAGAAATAACCTGAGATCTCCTGTTTGTATTGGTATGCAAGCTTGGAATTCCTGTATTCACACTGCAGGATTTTGGTACAATTAACCTAGCTGTAGAAGTTAGCCAACATGATCTGATGCCTAATCCCTAAACCTGCATGGAGGCCTAAAACCACCATTGTGATTATCCTATGCAGAGAGGGAGCCATCTACAGCACCTGCCCGTCATGTGAGAGACAACAGTCTTTTCCAAAATTCCAGTTTGGATGATCGGCAATAGTGAAGTGAATGCGTGGAGACTTGATGTGAACCCAAGCCCATGCAAAACTGACACACAGCCCTCTCGGCCCAATCAGTTGTGGCCGGGACATTCCCCAGCCCAAAGATACAATGATTGGACTGGGAGAGGTGTGCGTTAATCACACTTTTTACGCTGGCAAATTGGGTTCACAGCAAGCACCCGCAGCCAACAACCTATCCGTTCTGATAGACCTGGGGTAGCCAAACTCCGGCCCTCCAGCTGTGGTGGAACTACAAATCCCATGAGGCATTGCAAGATTCTCACAGACATGACTCCCGGAGAGAGATGCATCATGGGAATTGTAGTTCCACCATAGCTGGAGGGCCAGAGTTTGGCTACCCCTGACAGTCATCTAATGTCAATAGACACCTTTACTGCATCAGCATCTTTACCTTTTGTAAGATAAGATCACAAAGCCTTACTTCTAAATGGATATAGAGATGAAAAATTGTAGCTGCAGTCCTTTTTAACATGCATCAGATATGGTAGTTGCCGATTTCCTAACTTGTCATCAATATGTAAAACATGTGGTGATAGCTTCTGGACCCTGGACCAAACACAAGAAACACTTTGTAACTTATGATTCAAGTTACTGGGTTGTGCTAACCCACTGCTATACTTTGGGGTTGTTTTTTTTTACATTTTTAAGTTATATCCCCATTAATTAATATACACTATATTGCCAAAAGTATAGGGACACCCCTCCAAATCATTGGATTCAGGTTTATAAAATCCAGCACCTAGGCATGCAGACTGCTTCTACAAACATTTGTGAAAGAATGGGTCGCTCTCAGGGGCTCAGAGAATTCAGAAGTCACCAACTGTCTGCAGAGTCAATAGCTACAGATCTCCAAACTTCGTGAGGCCTTCAGATTGCACAACAACAGTGCGTAGAGAGCTTCATGGAAGGGGTTTCCATGGCGGAAACAATTCAATGCCAAGTGGGAACTTTTGAAAGCACATATTATTTAAAACTTATTTGTTAAGACTGTTGGTAAGGTCAACATACCTTCCCAACGTTGTTTATCAATA